GTCCCATCCCCAAAGATGTGTTCTAAGTTCTAAGCTCCAGAATCTGTCCTGTGACTTTACTAGAAAAAAAGGGTTTTTACCAATGTAATTAAGGTTCTCTTGATGAGATCATCCTGAATGAGGCTGGGCCCTCAATCTAAAGACTGGTGCCCTCAGAAGGAGAAGGTCTGAGACACAGAAAGAGTCCTTGTGAAGACAGAAACCGAGACTGGAATGATGTGGTCACAAGACAAGAAATGCCAAGAATTGCTGGCAGCTGCCAGAAGCTGGGCAGGGGCCTGGAACCAATGCTCCCTGTGAGTCTCCTGGAGGAACCAGCTCTGCTAGCACTTGATTTCTGACCTCTGGTCTCTAGCACTGTGGTAAAATAAACTTTGGTCATTATAAGCCACCAAATTTGTGGTGATTGGTTCCAACAGCAATTCAAAAACTAGTACAATGTGCCAAAGGTTTATTTAAGTCATTAACTAATGAGAGAACCAGGAATGTGTTTTGAAGTTCAAAAGAGAAGTTCAAAACCACAGATTTATATGGAATGAAGGAAGGCTGAAATGAATGTTTAAAAGATGGAGACTTGCTTTTTCCACAGGAAAAAAATGAATCTCCCCTGGAGATATACACACATTTATTTGTACGTGTATTAAAAGGAAAGGTTTAGCTCAGCTGGCATTGCTCAGCAGTTAAGCATCAACCTATGATTCAGGAAATTGAGGTTTGATTCCAGGGTCAGGGCACATGCCTGGGTTGTGGGCTTGATCCCAGCAGGGGGCATGCAGGAGGGAGCCGATCAGTGACTCTCTCATCATTGATGTCTCTATCTCTCTCGCTCCCCCTCCTTCCCTCCCTTTCTTCCACTCTCTAAAAATCAATGGAAAAAAATATCCTCAGATGAGGATTAACAGCGACAAAAAAAGAGCCAGCGGGACTTGGACAAATGGAGAAAAACTTGACAAAAGGACCACAAGAGTTTAGTAGGGACGCTGGCAAATCTCCAGGGACATCCCATGGAGCCTGTGACTTCTGAAATGTTGGTATTCACACCATTTTACAGGTGCAGCCTTGACCTAGGGAAGGCTGCGCACCTCTTCTGGTTGCATACCTTGCTGGAACCACAAATGAATTCTGGCCCCTGTCCTTTCCTAAGGTGAAAGCACAAGCCTCTGGGGAAGCCCAAGCTCCAAAAGACCCTCGTGGGAGGAACTGGAATCCTCTGTGTGGATGGGAGTGCAGCCACTTTGGAAACAGTCTAGTAGGCCTTGAAATGCTCAGAACAGCATCACTGTGTGACTGCCATTCCACTCAGAGGCGAAAGGGAAACAGACACAGGCATGTGCACAAATGTGCCTGCCCTGTGAGGTCCAGGAAGGGAAACCTTACTTGGGGTAGACAGGAGGCCAGCAGGGAACATGCTCACTGGGCCAATCCATGTCACAGGCAGGCAGGATGGTCAGTTTCCAACCCAGCAGAAAGAATACATAATCTGACCCATCAGGGAAGACAGTCTGATTCCATTCTCTTCTAACATACGTCTGACCCAAGGCTACCGTGGGACTTGCATTTAGACCTAGCACTCCCCTCTTTAGCCACAGCACTCTGAGAAAGCACATCCACAGAATGATTTTTCAGAGACTACCAAAGGGTGGCTCAGGGTGTCAAGGCAGACCAACTGGGGAATCCCTTCTATCTGCTTCCTAGGTGAGCTTATGTTCCCACTGCCCACGCAAAGGGATAGGAATTTCAAGGTGCAGCTTGTCTTTCATCAAATTACAATGCTTCTCTTGGACTCCCCCTCCCCCCAGAGCACCCTGGGGGCCCGGTCTGAGTCATCCAGTCCCTGGCTGGGGTGTTCTCCCAAGAGGGTCAGATGCCCAGGGAACTCTCCCTTGCAGATGGAAAAGGTCCTGCTAAGGAGCCTGAGGTGGGGGCCTAGGAGAGGGAGAAGTCATGGGGAGTGCGGCAGGGGAGTTACCAAGAGAAGGATCGACTCTCCGCCAGGCAAGGAAAGATGGAACCGAGTTGTGTGTCCCTCATGCTTCAAGGAGGGGACGACAGTGTCACCACTCCTGCAGCTGTGACAGACAGAAGCCAGCTCATCAGTTGCTGAGACAAGTGAGGAGATGTGGGCCCACATACCTGGGAAGCCCTAGCTTCAGGTGCAGCTGGATCCAGGTGGTCCCAGGGTGTTGTCAGGGTTCTGCCTCTCCCCTTTTGCTCTGCTCTGCTCATGCCCATTCCCTGGCCAGGGACCCAGCCGCACCCCACACTCCCATTTCACAAAAACTAGGAGGTCCCTTTGAATTCCATGGAGGGGAGGGATCCCCTTAAAGGACCATTGTCCAGTATCCCCAAGTCAGGCAGTGGAGGCTCTGAGCAGATGCAAATGCGGGGACTCCACCATTCTGTGACACAGGTGCTGTCAGATACAGCCACATCAGTACCCACATCTGCTCAGGGACTCTGTGGGCTGAGAAGCACAGGACTGAAGGAAGGTGAAGGCCCTACTTTCAGTCATTCAACCAAAGCCCAGAGCCCTGTTCTGGCACTCACCAGTCAGTCTCAACTGAGGTAGTCACACCTGGGAAACGAGGATGCCTGTGCCGTGCCCTGACTGGCTTTCTCTGGTTTTGAGGAACTGAAAACCTGCTCCTGGTGGTGGAATGGGCAACAGTGGCCCTGGTGGGTCAGGCTTTGCTGTCACTCTCTGGGGACATGGTCCTCCCTCAACCATGGCCTCCCTCCAGGGTCTCCTTATAATGCCCCAGTCCCAGGCCTGAGAGGATTTTGGGGCAGAGCTGTGAGCCTCAGAGCAGCTTCCCCCTGCTGTCCAGCTGGAGGTTTGAGTACCCTGACAGGCACTGGGGACAGGGCCCAGCTCTGAGAGTCCTAGCATGGTGGGCTATGTTGCCTCCCTGGCTATCAGTGTTGGCTCTGGGCAGCCATGAGAGGGTAGAGTGTACCAGGTGCCAGGTGACTCTCAGGACAGCCCTGCAGCATCTTCCTCCTCTTCGTATTTTGGCCCCTGCCCTGTTTCCTATGGGCAGTGACCAGAAGGCCCTGCAGACTTCAAAGGGCAGGGGCTCCCTCAAACCCCCACCTCCAGCCCCAGGAGGAGGAGAGGGATGCTGCTGGTGATGAGGGCAGTATCATAGGGGTGTAGGGAGGGCACACCCAGGCACATTGTTGTTTTCCTCCCTCTAAATCTCACCACCTCCAAACCCCTACCTCCCACAGGCAGGCAGCCAAGCCAAGCTGCCACTGCTCCATCCCTGGGAGGCTAGGGCCTGGAGGGTGGCCTCCAGCCCTCAGGACTGGGCTATGTCTGAGCCACTTGGGAGCCCATCCCCATTGATGCTTGATGGAACCCCAGACCAGAGGCTCTGGTGGTCAAGACATGTAGGCCCTTCCCTTCCATGGAGAACTCCCTCAGGCTCAGCTGGTCCTGCCAAGGTGGGTGGGGGTGAAGGGGAACAATGGAGGAAGATAGGCCCTCAAAGGCCCACGTGGAGGCCGAGACAGTCACAGAAAGGAGCTAGGCAGCAGGGTTAGGAACCACGTCTCCCAGCACCCACTCCCTGCTCCTTGTGGCTGCAGAGGCTCCCTGCAGAAGTGGGGGCCACACCCTCTGCAATCCCTGCAAGCCCTCTGGCCTGGCTCAGGCACTCATTCCAGTCTGTATGGTGGAATCACCTAGTCCAGGACAGACTGCAGCAGGTACAGAGACCCCATGCCCCGCAGATGCCTGTCCCAGGGCAACACAGGCTGCTCAGGAAGGAATGCCATGTCTACCCGAATAAAGGGTTGGGGCCTTTGGGGGTTTGATCATGGGAGCCAGGAACTGGAGGCCCAGGACTCAGGCAAGGGGTCAATGCTCTTGAGCAGAAAGGTCCTGCGACTGGCTGGAGCTTACACCGCAGTTTCTTCTAAGTCCCACTCACTGAGCCCCTTCTGTGCCTGGACCTTGCAACAAAGCCATGGTGTAAAATCCCCCAGAGAGCAGTAGGCAAGCAGGCCACACCCACGTCATAAAGCAGGGACAGCCCATCCTGCCAGATGGTAGTGCCTAGCTAGATTACCCCACCACATGTCTGGAGATGCTTGTGGAGCAGTAGTCCAGCTGGAGGTCCTGGATGGGATGTCACTGATGGACACCACATTGCCTCTGACTGTTGAAGCCTGTGTGGGTCCTTGGCCCAGACTCCAGACCCTGGAAGCTGGCCTTTGCCCTCCCTCTGGGCAGTTCTCAGGGGATGGGGAGGGTCCAAGAAGCAATGGTATGTGTGTGGAGGGGGGCAGGAGTCCTGGCTCAGAGAGCATAATCCCAGGAACCATGAGAATAGATTGGGGGTGGCAGGCTCCTGCTGAACAGCCAGGTGAAGTCTATCTGCACAGGAAAAAGTGCTCCTGGGATTAACAACTGTGACTCATGGAATAAAAATGTTTTACTGTGCAAACCCCACACGGGGCCCAGGACCAGCCCCGTCCACAGCCCATCAGGACCTGATTTGGGCCTGCTCTGTGGTCCCCACCCTGGCTTGAAGTGCCAGGGTCTCCTGTGGAGTGTGCAGGTGTCCATATTCGTGCCCCTGCAAGGGGAGGGCCTCCCTGGGCAGTGGGCATTCAGGCACTGTGGCAGTCCCAGCCTCAAGACAGGTGGGGCAGAGTAAAGGCCCCACCTGCCCAGGTTTAGGATCCGCACAGGTCCACACAGTCCTTCCCGCTGCGGAACACATGGTAGATGCTGGTAGGAGGGAACATGGCGACAGCACCAAGCAGGGAGCCCACCTGGATGGCCACACCAACTGCCAGCAATGCTGGCCGCCCCCCCCCATGCAGCAGGGAGCTGGCGGCCACCTTCACATATGAGAACAACCCCAGACACAGCACCCACGACAGCACCTGGGGGTACAGACACAGCAGGAGGCTGAGCATTAGATGTCCCCAGCTCCGTGGCAAACCTCCTCCTGCCACCCTCTTTGATTCAGTGTCTCCAGTGTACTTACCACAAGGACCATCCCTGCAGTAGTGCCCACTAGGGGTGGGCAGGGGCTCAGGATTGCCAACACCATTAGATAGGCCCCAAAGAGCATGCCCAACAGAGAGAGACCGCCCAGCCCTGCCAGAGACCTGCCAGGGGTAAGCAGAAATTCAGGGCTGGCTGTCCCTGGCCTGGGTCCCCATCCCTAAGTTCCAACCCGAGTGGCCTAAGGCCCCTTGTGCACCTGCACAGCACGCCCATGGCCAGGAAGCAGGCGAGGGGATTGGCGGCACTGCCCAGCACTGCAGCCAGGTGGTAGGCCTGGCGCCCATAAGGCAAGCAGGAGAAGCTCTGCACAGCAGGCAACACGCCATTGGTCAGAGCATTGGTGATGGCCAGCAGGCCCAGCAGGCAGGCACCGCGGGCAGAGAACAGCTGATGGGCCTCAGGGTTTCGGCCAGGTGTGGTGCCTGTGGCCTGGAAAGGTGGTTCCTGCAGTGGTGAGGCCTCTTCCTCTTCCTCCTCCACTCCTGGGGCTCCCACCCGAAGGCCAGGCCCTGGGCCTCCTGTGGGCAGGGATGGTGGTAATGGCAACAGTAGCAGAAGACCCTGGAAGGCAGCAGCCGAAATGACCAGAAGGGCAGCCAGTGTCCAGAAGAAGGTGCTGGCGGGAAAACGCTCTGGGAAGTTGTGGGGAGGCCCAGGGGTGCCATTGGTGGGAGCTGGTGGGCACTCGAGGCGGCCCACGCCCTGCACTAGGGCCAGCACACAGGGCAGCAGGGCACTCAGGCCCTGACCTAGAAAGAAGGACCGCAGAAAAGGAGGCGGCAGATGGCTCAGGAAGGGCAGGAAAGTGACATTAGAGGCACAACAGGCCAGTGCCAGCACCAAGGCCAGCGTCAGGAAGGCCACGGAGTGATACTGCCCTCCCACTGGTGCCACCTGCTGCCACAGTGGGGCCAGCAGGGCTGTGCCCACCACACTCAACACCTGAACCACCTGGATGGGGGCCTGTTCCCCCTTGCCCAGGGCCAGCCGTCTCCACAGTGTCACCACCAGCAGACCCAGGTTCCCCAGTGCCACAAGCACAGAAAGGTATGCGGGGAGGCTCCAACCTGCAGGGAAGGGAGGAGGCCACATCAGAGGCAGGGTTCGAAGGAACAATGCAGCTGCAGTCCACTTTCTGGGGCAGACCTGGCCCACATTTGCCTGCACACTCTCACTCACCCTCGGGAAGGTCTTTTACCACCACTGGCAGCTCCACCCAGATCCCATTAATGGCAGCCCAAGAGCCCATGCCGAAGAGGGCTACCAACAGGTGGGTCAGCACCAGACGGCCCAGTGGGGGTGCTGCCATTCAGCCAAGGCTGGGCCCCTCAGGACAGGGCAAAGGTCGGCTCCTCTTTCCCCACCTAGATCCAAAGAAAGTGCTTCTGCTCTTCTGGAAACTGAAGACCTTTTCTAGCTTGAAGGAAACAGATGCAAATGCAGCATTACAAGGAAAAGACACAGGAGTCACAAGAGGGCCAGTGAGCCAAGACTGGGGAAAGTGGAGGGTGCCC